CAGGTGTGAGCCACCGCACCCGGCCTCGTCCAGACTTCTTTACCAGGTGGTCTCAAAATTCCAGAGAGCAGTGAGAGAGGGCAAGCTTCAATGCACAAGCAGTGTTATTTATTTATTTTTTTTTTGAGAGTCTTGCTCTGTCGCCCCTGGTAGAGTGCAGTGGCATGATTATAGCTCACTGCAACCTCAAACTCTGTGGCTCAAGCGATCCTCCTGCCTCAGCCTTCTGAGTAGCTGGGACTACAGGCTCCTGCCACCACGGTTGGATAATTTTTTCTATTTTTGGTAGAGACTGGGTCTCGTTCTTGCTCAGGCTGGTCTCAAACTCCTGACCTCGAGCAATCCTCCTGCCTCAGCTTCCCAGAGTGCTAGGATTCCAGGTGTGAGCCACTGTGCCCAGCCTACAAGCAGTTTTTATTCCTTAGTTCTTGTCACATTTGATGTTGTCTCCTTGGTCAAAACAAGTCGTAGGGCCAAGCCCTCTTATAAGAAGTGAAGATATAGACTCTGCCTTTGATGGGAGAAGTAGCAAAGTCGTGTCCCAAAGGGGTGAGTGTACAGGGATGAGAGGAATTACCGTGGTCATTTCCACAATCAATCTACCAATTGCCTTACAGAAAGCATGGTAAATGCTTTCCAAATGACATTTTCCAAATGACAAACTTGGAAAAACATCTGCAACTCAAATCACAAAAGGTTAATTTAGCTAATACACAAGGAGCTTGAGTAAGTTGGTTAAGAAACAGACCTAATACATAAACGCTAAGGGATATGGAAAGTTTCTAAAAGGAAACACCAATGTTTTTCTTAGCTGGGCGCAAGGGAAAGGAGAGAAGGAGGGATATTTTTAATGGCATTTAGATAACATTTAAAAAATGAATTGATTTTTAATTACACGGTCCAAAACGTTAAAAAGTACAAAAAGATACATAATAGAAAAATCTCTTTCCTTCTCCCTGTACTGCATATGCCATGTCCATTGATTTTACTTATGAAAGATTTTGCCATGCAGGTATTCTTAATATTTCAAAATATTTACATCATTTC